TCTTACTTCAAATCGATAAAAAAAAGTTAATTTTGTTGGGGGCAAAAAAATGGCCTTATCCGTCCTCGTCCTTTGATTTTTCACTGAATACCTTGTCATAGGTAGTAAACCCAGTAAAATGATCATAACTCGAGAAGGAAGACCTATGGATCATTATTATTCAAGCTTTTTCTAGTCTCATCGAACCCCGCATATGAGCAAAATATCAACGAAAACGGCATGGATCAATTGGAAGCCGTACTTTGTGAGTCTGGCACCCTTACGTGCTCTTCACGAAGATTCGCATAGTTTTCAGAAATGAACTTTGTAAAAGTTTTAGTTCTGTGCTATTCGATCATCAATCGATCAACAAATCTACAATGAATATTTTGTGTATTCAAAAATGCCTCAACAAAACACTACGAACCTATGTCGTATTTTTTGGTAATGATACAGTATCCCTTTTATGTCACATAAGTCATTCACAGAGGAGAAAAAAGTTGATTGAAGCACATGCTTTTGTTCCTCTTTCGCGGAAAGTCGATGTCCTTGCGCACAGCATCCTTGAATAGCGGCTTTCACTTGCAGAGTAAAGAATTGATAAGAAAATAGAGAATGGCCCACTTTGTCGGCTGTGATCAGTGATTTTTTTTCCAACCTTCAAGAAGAACAACATAAAGTCAATACACAGGTGAAGTGACGCTGAATCAGCAAGTGTTGTGATGACGTTTGCGACACTGATGTAAGCTAATTTTTCAGACATTATTACGTGGTGAAGCAGAGCTCGAAGCCAGCCACATTTTCATGAGCCGGCCTTCGATGGTCCGGATATTGTTCAAGCCCGTTCGGCCCAATGCAGCTTTAATTCAATGCGATCCGGCCTAGGCTCGAAGAAAACTTCATTTAGAAAGGTTTTTTGGGTGGGTGTGCGTGAGTGTGAGGTGTCGCGTGTGGGTGTGCTGTGGGTGTGGCTGTGTGTGGGGTGTTTGGGAGTGGGGTGTGGCTGTGGATCTGGGTGTGAATCTTCTCTTCATTCATACCCACACCCACACCCACACCCACACCCACACCCACACCCACACCCACACCCACACCCACACCCACACCCACACCCACACCCG